TTAGATTCTGAAAGTTTTATAATGGGTTACCACAATCTTACCTTGTTATAACTGAAAAAAAAAGGCTTTTGTAGTAAATGAATGTTCAAAAACAACAAATAAAACCATCTTTCAATTGTACGGTGTCGGTTGGGTAGATATATTGTGTGCATATAATAATAATATTGGCATACATTTCTTATTGAGTTTACATTCATATTATAGTCAGTATTATATATCCTCTTATCATTACATTGTCATTAAGTTTTTATTTCAATTTCAAACTATCCTTAAAGGCAAATCCCAAATCTTACTAAATTATATTTATATTAAAGCTTATTCAAAAATAATCAATTTTAGTATATCATTATTAATACAATATCCTTTAATTTCTTACTCTATTTTCTAGCCATCCATAGAATAACTCCCAAATCTTATAGTACTCTTTTTCTTCTTGTTCTCTAATTGCTAATGTTAATCTACTTATTTCTGCACATTCCATTATTTTCTTAATCACCTCCTCCTCCATTGGAATTTTCTTATTTTTCCAATTTTGGGCAAATACAATTCTAGTTTGTATGGATGGAAAAAATGATAAAACAACACATAGACTTAAAACCTGAGATATTTTTTTTAATGGGGATTTTGCCTGAAAGTTATAGTAAAGAAATAATATACTTGATTATTAATGTTCATTTTATTCCTGTTGTAGTGCTATATCGAAAAGGCCCTCCTTTTTACCATGCCAGGTATAGCATTAAGGTTTGGATATAGTTTTCATTTTTACTATATACTATGCTTAATTTTTATGCTACTTGAAACTATATATTTGTTTCTAAATTGCTTTAACATAATTCAGAATATTGTTTTTTCAAAGCTGAAACTAAGAGTAATCTCAAATTAGGAGAGTCCATGGCTGGCCATCTTCAATAAGAACATTCAGATAACCAATCCTATTCTGGAATGTTCTATTACCCACAGAATAGCCCTGGAGATGCCCTGAGATTCAAATAAGGGTCTCAAAAACATGAATAATTGAAATTTCAAACAAAGAAAAAATATGTTGATTTTGGCATACTTTCATATATTGTGTTATCAGTATGCATTTTATTAAAAGCTGCCCTTGTGGTCTTTAAATGCTGCTTTGATAGAGGCAAACCAGTGTTGCTCCTTCTACTAATTAAAGTAATTAAAACATTATGGTGATGAGTACCTGGTGATGAGTACCTCTCCTCACAAATATTTGTTCTGGGGGACTCTCAATGCTGTCCAGAAGAGATTTGGAAAGGGGGGAAATGACTTTGGTGACAGAGAGAGGGGATGAATTTTCATGCCTTTGATAGAATCAGTTTCATCATAATATTACATTGGATTTTACCTTCCCTTTAACCTACATAGTCTACTTGTCTATTTGAATGAATACTGTGGGAAACTATCTCTAATTTACTAACCCCAGAAAAGAGACTTAAAAGAATGTGAAAAGAGATCTAATCTAAATATCCTGTTGTTTGCTGAATTGATTCTTTCACTTATGCTAAAGGAACCCATCAGTATTTTAAGTTATTTTGGTTGTGATTTTTGAATATATGTTTTAACTTTTCATCCTAAAAAAAGATATTGGGGGTTATTTTCCAGCTATTCTGTGATTGCTGAATTAATTAATGATGATTTTGATGGACCACTGCACAGACCATTCAGTTGGAAATCTTTGTCTGGATTGAACAGAACTACAGCAAATGTTTCCAAGGTAGCCAATAAGAAGCATCATTTTAAAATAAACCAAAAATGCTATGGAGGAAAATGGATGAATAACTTTAAGTGCAGTAGGTAGAATTATACAAAGCGTGTAGTAAAATAATTTTGCAATAAATGAGAGTAAGCGTATGTGGGTCTATATATATGTTTCTGGTTAACAGTGGAAAATCATATTTCATACAAATGTTGCAGTGTGTGAATTGTAAGCAATCACAAATGTGGTCTGGTTGACTGAAGCTGCTATTATGGAGAAAAGATTCTCTCTTTTCCATGTTTAATATTCCATCACAGATACGAAGCAGAGTTTAGATTCCATTTTTTCAAAAAATTGCTTTAAATCTAAACTTCCATAATATTGGTCTGCTGCTATACAGTATTTCAGCTTACTAGTTTCTAGGGGGCTTGAGTTGTTCAGATTGTATTTCTCTAATAATTGAGGCTTGGTTTAATACTTAGCTACCCAGTGCTTTTACAGATCACTTTTCAAATATATTTTTATTTAGTTTGTCCTAATACACTATTTAGGATAAATGTTGATAATCCCCACTGAACATTTTAGAAAGAGTAAATGGATGGAAAGAAGAAACAATTATAGTAACTAGAGATGAAAGTTACCTCTGAAGTCCAAGAAACCTAATGTTGAGGGCTCTGCAGCACTTCAGATTCAAAGCCAAATGGTGCTTCGGAAGATCCAGGAGCACAATAGAGTATATGCCCAAAACTCCTTACACCAAATGCATATTTTCTTGGGACTGGGCTGCAAGAGGCATCTACATATTCCTAGGAAAAGTCACAACTGCCTTCAGGAGTTGCAGGCAGGTCTACATTTCCTTGCACACTCCAAATTATATTTTGCCTTTGAATCTAAAGGTGCTATGCATCCCTCTAGTTTTTACATATGCATTTTTCTCACTTCAGTTTTCTCTGAAAATTGGCTCTAGAAAATCACCAAAATGGTTTGGAACTGCCCTGGGTGCAATAAAATGATCAAAACTACCTTACAAAAGGGCTCTTTTACCCTTGTTTTTAATTAGACTAGTAGACGCTGTCTGTCTCATTATTGCAATAAAGAGTGCATGAACCTTAATTTGAAGTTTTCAGGAGAAACATCACATTTACATTTACTTGACATTTTGGTAACATAATTTATTTGTCACCAGGAACTCATGTTCTGCTATTTAATTAAGCCATCTGATATGAATGAAAAAGAAATGCTTTCACCTGAATGTCTCAAAAGAATGAAAGTCCAGGTATGTATGTTTCCTCCCAATTTAATATTTTGTCAGAAATGAACATTGAATTGTTTATTTACTGCTATAGTAAATAAGTATACTGGGTCATTTATTCACTGTCAGTTTTCTAAAACCGTGTGTGTGTGTGTGTGTGTGTGTGTGTGTGTGTGTGTGTTAGAAGAGATTGAAATAGACCATTTCTCCCTAAAAAATAGGAATGATGCATGATCTAGGTATATTGAACTAATTCATCCAAGAATACAAGTAGTCCTCATTTAGTTGCTTTGTTTAGCAACCATTTGCAGTTATGATGCTGATGAAAAAGTAATTTTGCAGCTTTACATTTACAATCTTCCCAGGTCTATAAAGCAAAGGAAAGCTTAAGATAAGCCCACAGTTTCACTTAGCGACTAACTCGCTTTACAGTCAAGTTGCCAGTCTCATTTTTTAATCATTAATAAGGATTACCTGTAATTGTGTTTGAAAGAGCAATGCTAAAAATGCTTTGATATAATAAAATAAACTATGGAAAATAATGGTTTGAATGCAAATTACTCTGTTCTTTAATTTTAAAGGGATTTGAATGTATCTTGAAATGAAGCAGCCTCATCAAATCATAATAAGTCTATGAAGCATTCACAATACTGGAATAATATGTTCAAAGAGAAAAAGCTTTTTTAAAAAATCTCATAATATGCGTAATGCTAAAAATCAGCTATATAAAAACATTCATCAAATAGTAGGTTGATCTTTAAAAAAATCTAAAGGTCAGCCAAATGATATTGGAAGTGCTATTGCAACTAGTACAGGAAATTATTAGTGGTAGTTACTTTCTATGAAAATGCTCTAGATACCGAATTAGCAAATGCCAAAACCTCAATTGGGAATGTGCATATTGGGCAATTCTAATGATTTGACACTGTCTATCTGCTAATAAGTGTGATAATTTATGCAGGTACTGATTTCAGGATGGCAAAGATATTTTCATAATCAAATTCACAAATATACTTTCTCCCCAAATAACAAGGATTGTCTGTATTTTTATTTATCAACTGTCGCTTTATTTAGAGATGAAGCAGCCATTATATATTGATTAGAGCGGAGCAATATTTAGGAAAGAATCATTCTTCCATTTTCACTAACAGTCTCAGTGCTATTCGTAGTTGTACGAATGATCATGTCTCTAGCTTGCTATAGCTTGCTGTGAACCAAATACTAACAATAGTATACTAACAATACCCAAATGCATTATTTCTCCTTAAGCTATCTCTTCAGTAGGAAAATATGCATTAGCTAACAATAGCATTCAGCAACCATATTTATGTATTTTACTTATTTTATAACCAGTGTCTTTCTTTTTAAAGGAATTGATCCTAAATCGCTGGGTTTCATCCTGTGAACGTAGTGAACAAGAAGAGGTGTGAAATTGGAATCCAAAAGTTGAGCAATATTAATAAAACTGTAGCAAACTAAATAAAATTTAACTATTCCTTTTAGCATGTGTATATTAAGTGTATATAATACAGAGCACTGTGGTTTTTTTTAATAAAAGCTCAAATGGATAGTGACAATTGAGCATGTTTTATGACTTAGCTTAATACTTCTAGAGTTAATTAACCTCTACTATAGTCTTGGCTCAAAATGTTCTAGTTATACCATGTATGTTAAAGATGGCTTAAATTGATTAAACAAAAAAATAGATTTTTTATTTTTATCAGCCAATTTTTTTTGCTACATTATGCCAAATAAAAGTCCATTTTATTGATGTGGTTGATAGTTATATGTCCCTTCCCACCCTATGATTCTATGAATGCTGAATTTAATTTTGTTGGTTGGTAGGAATTTCCCTTAACTTCTATTCATGAATACACCCACAGAAAGAAAAGTCATTGTCTTTGCTCTAGTGCCATCTGGAGTAGAGAAAGAATTATTAAAAATTGTCTTTGACTTCCAACAAAAAGGAAGTTTCTTGATCACAGCCTTGGATTTTTTTTTCTATTCGTAGACTCTTAGGCTTCATATCAATGTCTTTAAATTAAAATAATGCTAAATAAAGATGTTTATTAGAAAGATTACATTATGATTCAGTTTCTGCAGTTTCATGGATAATAGGAAATAGTTCTGATTTTTCTTGGATTTCTGTCCAATTAAGTATGATGATAATGTTTTCCACTTTCCTTACAACAAGATAAGAACACCTTATGTCTTAACTCAAATATTTTAATTTTACTTACAGTAAGTGTTTCGGCCTAAAGTCAAATGGCATTGGTAGAAGTACTGCCTTTTTGAGCAGGATGGTCAACAACATAAAAACCGTTCTTGCATATTTCCTTGTAGATGGTGATATATTTGGAAGCTTTTCTTGTTTGTGGAATTACAAATTTCTCTGTAAATTCATTTTTATTCATTTGCTGCTGCTTTTGGGCACTCAGCACACAATTAATAAATGTTAGTGCATACGTATAACAATTATGGAAACATTCTTCATACCTGTTAAATAGATAGAGAGAAATGAGTCTCAAAGCAACAATAACAAAGCTTCGGCATAACTACTGTATATTTTATTAACTTCTGGTATATTTATAACACGTTGTCTTAATGAGAATCTTAACTTATTTAACATAATTTTCCTGCTCTTTAGCCAAAACACTGTTAGTCAGTCTAGATAAGGGAGAGGAAAAGAACAAGCCAGGCACTGGTTTTTAGTTGCGAATTTGTATCATGCTCAGCTGGAATAAAAATAAACAGTGGCAGACTTATAAATAGAATAGATTTACAAATAAGAAAAGGTATGGCAAAGAATATTGCCATATAAGGATATTGCAGTAAATTATTAGTCCAGTGTATTCTTCGAGCATTATTGGAAAATGCGAGTTTAGTAGCTTCTTGTATGGAAGGCTGACAAAATGTAGATTGCTTAGCTGATTTTAGGAAAGCCCTGCACTTATCATGAAAACTCAATGCCCCTATTGTGATAAAAAAGCAAATCTGTTTATAATTTTCTGCAGATCAAAAAATATTTTTCAACACACATGGTAGCCACCTAACTTATTCTCATGAGGTGGTCATATAGTTCCTCTCCTTCAGATAGCAAGATACTCAATTTATTTTTCACTCAGGCTACTTTTATGGAGTGAAAATTAACACAAAATTCTGCAATTGACAAGGGAGCTCAAAATTATTGATTCCAATAAATTAAATTTATTGAAATCTGAATAACTTTGAGCTCGTCAGCTGCAGAATTTTGTATGAAAGTTTCATTCCATAAAAGTAGCTTGTGTGGAAAAACTAATTGAATATCTTGCTATCATCTGAAGGAGAGGAATGATCTTTATGATGATCTTTACCACCTTTCTTGCCACATTTGCACTGCAGTTGCTAAGTTAGTAACATGGTTGAATCTTGCTTCCTCATTGACTTTGCTTGTCAGAAGGTTGTAAAAAATGATCACGTGAGCCAGGGACACTACAGCCATCATCAATACATGTTGGTTGCCAAGCGCCCAAATTTTGATCATGTGACCATGGGGATGCTGCAACAGTTGTAAGTGTGAAAAACGGTCATAAATTGCTTTTTTCAGAGGCTTTATAACTTTAAATGGTCACAAAATAAATGGTTGTAGGTTGAGTACTATCTGTATCCCAATGTTTCAAAAATGTATTTTGAAAAAATCTTCCCAGTTTGCGTCTGAAACTAATTTTCTTTTCCCATCCCAATCCTTTCTTCTGGAAGAATGAAGAAATCTCAGAAAACAAACATCTAGCACTTATGATACCACCTGAGGTGGTTACCGTATTTGACCTAATGATAATTGAAGCCTATTCATCTAACATATAGAAATATTATGGAACACTGGAACTGCTTTCTGTTGTAGAATCAATAATTCTTCCAAACTTTATCACAGCTGGTTCAATTGCAATCTATTCATTTAGAACTCTTGTTAAGTAAATTACAGAGATAGTCCTTACTTAACAACTGCAATAGGGACTGGGAACTCCATCACTAAATGATGCAGTCATTGAGTGAAAGATCACGTGATCCTTCCTGGTGTACAGGGTCAGTTCTGCTGCAGTGATTAAGTGAACTGCTCACATCATTAAGTACAATGTCAATGTAAGTTGCAACTTACTATTTACTGCTGGCTTCTCCACTGACTTTGCTTGTCAGAAGCCAGCTGAGAAAATTGCAAATGGCAGCCACATGACCATGGGATACCACCACCATATAAATTAGCACTTTTTTCAGTGCTATCATAAGTTCAAACAGTTGCCAAACAATGCAGTCATTAACCCAGGACTACCTCTATTTTTTAGAACAGGCTGATGAAGACAAAGGTTCTGGAGAGTTTTATTGTCTCCAAATGATTGCATGAGACTCATCTGTAACTCAGTCTAAGCAAAGTGCAAAAATTTAGCATGTTAGTTTTGGAGGAAGTCCCCAATACCATTTTGAATTCTGTACCTGTGTGGAAGCCAAATATCTGTTGCTGAAAATTGTTCTAGATAGGTATCCCATTGGTTAAGGAGGCCATACATATCAGGCTTCACTAGTGGAATGCTGACACATTGTTCCCAGCCATATTCAGCAATGGTAATACCAGTTTCATTGTAATTATACACCAAACCTACAAACACAATAATAGATGCAATCAGAAGGGTAAAACTGCTATGTATACTATGGTAATATGGAAAGACTGATTACCACATATTAGTAACTATCTCTTGTGATATTTTCATTTCCTTTACAGACATGTACAGAAGCTATTTGAAAATCCTGGTTATAAGAATAATGTGGAATTGTGAAACAAAGATTATTTACCAAATGTGGTTTTCTGACTATCCAATTGTCTAGGGCCCTAGGCATTTACTGTCTAAGCTTTTGGTATCTCAAAAACATTAAAATGTATCATTTTGAACAATAGAATGATTATTCTAATAGAAATAGAATATTTGAATACTAAATTTACTTTGTAAACAAAACATAACCTTTCAGAGTTTGCCATCTTTTATCCATCTTCCCATTTTGAATGATATAATTAAATCTTTTAGGCTTGTCCTGCAAGACTCTCCTTCTACAAGCTGCACCCTTACGTGCACAACATTCACTTTTATTCCATATGTTGATGCCAAATATGCAAGACAACTATGAAAGATTTAGTCATACTATTCAACATAAATTCCAGCAAATGAAAGGAGGGGTGAAATTTTAGTGAGTAGGCAAAGTCTATTATTTGTACAGAAGCCCTATGGCCAGTGAGAAACTTTAATTGGAACTGTTTGATTTAGATTTGAGGTAAAGAAAAAAGATGAGAGAAGGGAAGCAAAACAGTTTGAAAAGTGAGAAACAGAAGAACCCACGAATATTTGCTAGAGAAGATGCTGATGATTTGAATAAAGAGTGAGAAAAAAAAAGCTGAAATAGTAGGATTAACACTTCAAGAAGCAGCCAATGGTTCTGCATCCTATGTATAGAAAGAAACCAGTGGCTTGAAGAATGGGGGGAGGGGGCAGAGAAGTGGGGGAGGGGGCACCTTAATTCACATGTTGTCAGTACAAGTGTGCAAGCATCCAACTGTTCCTTGACCAAAAGCATCCTAGCCCTCACATGCACTCCAAACTGAATTACTGCACAAATGTGAGAGTTAGCAAATATTTGAAATTAATAATTTCAAAAATATAGTGCTTCCAAAATGATCTCAGTCTTTGTCTTTCCCAAAGGCTCATTAATTTACTGAGTACAAGGCACAAAAGGGTGATCCTATTAAGTGCTTCCTAGTTCTCTCTAAGTATATATCCAGCCCCAAGATATGTTGCCTCTCCACGTTTTTCTCAGCGCAGTAGATTACTGGACACTTTGAAAAGAGGGCTGGACAATTACAGCTGCTTCAGTTCTGATTCTCATCACTGCTTGCATATCCACAAACAATGTCATTCCTAGAATCAAACTGCTTTTTAAAAAAACTTATTAAATTACTGGCTGATAAGCAGCAAGCTACATGGGCTCTTCTAACTGGAAATGGTTTGTGGGATAAATGAGCAAAACTACTTGCACGGAGATATCTTGGCCAACAGACTTGTGTTTGAACTGAAGGGAAGGCATTTTGAGTTGTAAAGCTGCTTCCAATGGAACAGAATGAAATAGTAGAAGCTACATGCAATTTGGACTGAGCACACTTTGAATGGTGTGGGAGTGTGAACGGATTTCCAGAAAAATTGCAGACTACAGGAACCATTAGCACTACTCAGGTGACCCTGAGGATCCAGATAAACCTCCAAGTGCATAAATCTCCAAGTTTACTACCCTCTAAAAGGATGTAAATGACCAGCTTTTTGCAAGGAATATAAATCTTTCCATTCAGAGCTGAAGAAAATTCGGTGGTGCAGTGGTTAGAGTGCTGTACCGCAAGCTACTCTGCTGACAGGCAGCTATCTGCAATTTGGCAGATCGAATCTCACCAGGCTCAAGGTGGACTCAGCCTTCCATCCTTCCGAGGTGGGTAAAATGAGGACCCAAATTGTTGGGGGCAATATGCTGACTCTGTAAACCGTTTAGAAAGGGCTGTAAAGCACTATGAAACAGTATATAAGTCCAAATGCTATTGCTATTCTTGGATGACAAGTGAAACATCTTCAAAAGAAGAAACAAGAAAAGTCCAGTTGCCCTGAAAAAGCAACTTTGGGATGTATGTATCATGAAGTTGGTGGCAATTCAGGAACCACCTAGATTTTCTCCACAATACAGAATCATAAACTATTACATGTACTTGCATAAGAAACAGATATATGCTGAACTTCACTAGACATCCTGGTTACGTAAAGTGCCTGTAACAGAGAGGAGGGATCCAGGTCTTTATGGCTTTCTAGAAGGCCAGCAGGGTTGGAGCCCTCAAATCTCTGGGTGTTCCAAAAGGCAGGAGCTATGACAGAAAAGGCATCTTATCTAGGCCCCACTCTAGGTGACACTGCTTCATTTCATATTGCTATCAGCACTGCATGTAACCAAACTACTTTGCAGGATAGAAAACACAAAATGTCCATCTTGTACAGTATATACTGACAATGCATGAAGACTTCATATTAGAAGGTTAATTATATGTTTTCTTACCATTGGTATTAGTTATTCCAACATGAAGGTCAGAATCTCCATCATAATCTCTGAAAAGACATGTAAGGTTTCACTTTGGAAAAAGATATTAGAGATTTTTTTCACTTATTTGAAGAGTTTTTGAAAAATAGGCTGGACATAATATAATACTACTCAAATACAATTAGCAGTACAAAAGTTATTTGCTTGGCAAGAGTAATTACGTCTAAAAACCTCTGAGTAAAATGCTCTCTAGTAATCAGATGTGTAGAAATCCTTTTCTAAATTGGTGCTTGCCTTATATTCCGGTAATGATAAAAGGCAGCTTCTATGTACCTTGTTTCTAACCATAGAATAACAAGGAAGACCCATACCTTAGAAATGTTCCTATAGTGGGCTTCAGTAAAAAAGAACATCTTTCTCGGTGTCCATTAACAAATGGGCTTGGAATACTAACAGGTGCTTCTTCCAGGCTTCCATAAATCAATCTTTGCCCACACAATGGACAGTTCTTGGGAACTAAGCAGCCAAAAATGTCTTTGTCACAGTGGGTGATTTTAATTAAGGCTCTCTCCGAGTCCAAAGGTTGCATGATCAGTCCTTCCTTAGGTAAATGAACCTGCTTTCCAACTTGTATTTAATAAACAGAAGCCAGTAGAATTGGACACTGAAAGAAGGAAGAGATTAGTTGAGAATGACAGGTCTCAGTACCAATTCTTCCTCTACTGTGAACTGAATTAGCAAATGAGATACAAGATATGGGAGGGACAGCTTTTCCTGGACATTCTTTTAAAGAGATAGTGTTCCCTTTTTGTATTAATTGTATCTGGTACTTGTGTGCTGACTTTATTTTTGATAAATAGAAACCATCCCATTTGTCTGTTATTGTCTGTTAATTAATGGTAAGCAGTTACCTCTTTGTAGATTTCTTTCCCTTGATTAAAATGAGGAATAAACAAATTTAGAATTACCATCATCTCTTCCTGACAAAGATCTTCTGACTTTTGCACTACAGGCAAAAGTGTTTAAACTTTTTTTTCTAGTTTTCTAGTTTATTTGGTCATAAAGCAAAACTTTTCAAATACAACCCTACTATTCTTGTTAGCTGTATTGTCTGAGATTTTCAGGAACTGCAGTACCAAATTATCAGGATTAGTTTGTCCTTGGCAGGAAAAAAAATCAGCAGCCTAAATTTAATGTGGGCTTATCATGCAGTTATAGGGAACACTATCTCTTTTTAGTAATATTCTATTACTTTGAATAATACAAATTTATTCTGACTAATAAATGAAGTATTGCAAACAACTCACAATGTTGTCCAATAAGAACACAGACATGAAAGACCAAATAAAAAATAAGCTTTCCAAAACTGAGACAGCTGCATACTTCTCATAAGCTGCCATATATCAGAGTACAAGGACCCAATACCACAAAGTTTCCAAAAAAGTTGTGTCCTTGGTTCTAGTTAGCTAGTACTGTTATGACAGCAATAATAAACTACTACCTGCATACTGCACAGGTTATATGTCTCCACAAAATAATGCACAAATTATTATAAATGCTTACAAATGACATAAGATGGAGAATATTTGCATCCAATTTGGAAGAAATGCTGATTTTTCCAATTATTACTTGATATAACGAGTTGCTATTCTTACAAGATCAGGTTTATTTAACTGCTTATCTGCTTTACATTATACTGTATTGTGCAATATAAACTATTGTCTGTCCTTACCTTTACAGTCATGAGACTGCTGTAACACTTTCCTGATCTCTATGCTCTGCCTTTTAATCTATACATTTTACAAGGTAACTTCAAAAAGAGAATCCAGCATGAAGAGTTTGGGTTATATATACTGTAAATTGATTTAAAATGTGATTATTTTATCAGCGCCAGAATCATTGTTATCCCACATACACTGAAGTTTTAGGATACTCATGTGTGTCTGTGTGTATACCTACAGGTACCAAGACGGACTTATTCATTTAAAATACATTTTATAAGTTGAGTTCTGATACATCGATATAGCTCGACCCTTCAAGGTATGTCAAGATGAATCCTTTAATGCCCCAGTGTCACACCATCTTTTTTTTTTTTTTGCTGCAGCTTAAAAAACATTTTATTGCAATAAATCTAGATTGGCCCAGCAGGCTGCATATCTATTTGGCGCCTCAAATACGAGAGGACCCTCTCCTGTTGCTTGTTGGGAATTTCTCCCCATTCCCTGCCAGATAGGAAACATGAACCATACAGATATCTCAAAAGTAGCGGGTCCCGAAACCCTATCACTTTAAACTGGGGAAGGAGCACTCTAGCCGGTAATCTCGCTTCCCCCAGGCAGCCGCGGTCCCGCTTTCCGGATCTCTATGCCCTGCTCTTGAATATAGTGTATATCCGGGGAGTCTATGGTAGCCAAAAAGCAGGAGGCTGGCCGTCCCTTTCCCGACTGACAGTTTTTTTTTAATTAAAAGGCGGTTTTCCAATAATTTGTCAGTTTGGAAAAGGGCGGCAGATTGCCTTTATCATAAGCGGCCCTCCTGCCTACCCTCTCCGGTGTAAAGGAAAGCCTGGTTGCCCCTCCCTCTCTCCTACTCTATGGTAGGGCGTTTCATTCATAATTTCCGGCCGGAAACCAGTTCCTGTAGCAAAGGCCCGGCTCTCTTTGTTGGGCTCCCCAAACAGCTTTCCCTTCCTCTCCACCACCACCCCCTCCCCGGCGCTACAGCGGAACCAAAATGCGAGGAGCCGCGCAGGGAGGAGACACCGAAGCAGGAGCGGTGCCAAAGGAGACATGAGCAGCACGAAGGACGTAACCTGCAGGTCTGACGGAGCGGTTACCGCTTGGGATAAGCGCTCTCTGCTTTGCTCCCCACCCCGAAAAACGGACGGGCGCTTGAAGACGCTCCACCCACGGGGAAGGGGGGTGGTGGAGGAGGAGGAGGAGGAGGACGGGACCGAGATGCTTCCCGGGCTCCTTTCTCGCTCTCTTCGCCGGGTTCCTCCATCTCCGACGAAGCCGCCAGAGGAAGGGAAAAGCCGGAGAGCCGATGGTTCCCTGTCCTTGTTTCTCTAACTTGCCGTCCGAGCCCTAGTGGCCGCCTTTCACTTCCCTCCAGTTTTGTGTGTTTGTGTGTGTGTGTGTTGTAGCCCTTGAAAATGCGCATTACACAGAGTTTTTCCCGCTAACTCGCCATCCCATCCTTTTCACGTGGTCCCCAATGGTCCTCTTTTACTTCCCCCAGTTTGTGCGTGTTGTATCCCTTGAAAATGCGCATTACACATAGGGGAGCTTTTTGCAAAACAGGGAGGCTTATTGAGACTTACTGATTCCCCCTTAAAAGATCTAAACCCGATGTTCCCTAAAAGATTCCTAAAGGTATCTCCTAGTATTTCTTAGGACCGAGGCCTTTCTGCAGTTGACCCAGAAAACACCTAAACCTTTCTACCAGTCAATATCAGGCGGCTCTCTTAATTCCCTATCATGAAAGATTGAAGTTTCACACAGGATGGAAATATAACATTAATCCTGTGGATTGCTGATTTGCCCCAAAGTCTCTCCTTATTGATAATCATGGGAATCTTTTTAGGATATATAAAGTACATGGGTTCAGAATCTTAAAATATATTTTGTAAGTTCTTTTAAAAGTGCCAATAAAACAATATTCCTAAAGAAATCAGTGTAACCTTATTTGAGCCGTGAGTTTAGAATCTACTTATTTTAGGATATTTGTATATTTCAAATACAGATGTTTCGCATTCTGCTTTTATGAACTTTCTGGAGAAAATCTTGGCAGATTTATTCATGGACTTGACAAATATTGAAATAACAATTGTGTATTTTGACATCAGTTGCTGTATATAACTAACTTTATATTATTGCAGGTATTTTGTACAAGGAGTATGTCGTGAAGGAAATAGGTGCCTGTTTTCCCATGACTTGGCTACGAGCAAACGATCGACTATCTGCAAATTCTATCAAAAAGGACAGTGTGCCTATGGAACTCGCTGCAAGTATGTTTTATTCATTTCCAAGAGAAAACTTGCAGTTATTTTATTATGCTAAAGACATGTAAGAAGCTGCTTATTGTTTGTGTACTTCTTGTACTTCATGCCAGTGCACTTCTCATAATTTCTTACTAGCACTGTTTGCTGTGAGATGATTGGAACTGAAGAAATCTGGGAAAACTTTTAAAAGAAGAGCTTTCAAATTTTGATAAATGATTTAAAAGAAACTGCAGAGATATGGTCCATAAATAGGTTTCATTTTTACCGAGATAGCTTTTTACAAGTTTGCAAGTTTAGCATCCCAATCATATGCATATCTACTCCAAAACAAGTGAAATTCAGCAGGTCTTGCTCCCAAATAAGTGACAAATTTGGCAATCTCAAAGTACACTGATAATGCAGTGTTCAGACCCCAACTGTTAAAAGGAGGAAAGACTCTTGACTTTGTAGTTTAATTCTTTTTTTCCTTTTTTTCTTGAACTCCAAAAGCCAGTTCAGATATAAATTATATGTTAAACTACTGAGAAGTCAGAAATCCTGATCTATTGTAAAATACCCACAGATCCATCAATAGATTCTGACTTACTTTCTCTCTATATATATATATATCCACATCTTAAAGTTATAATACTGCATATGCTATATTTATTTCATTAAATTTAGCAGATTTAATTAAGATTGTTAAACTAGAATATATGACAATAATCCATATTGAACTATACCGGACTACTAAACATTACTATGAATGGTTTTACTTAATCATTTGGAATTCTACTATATATATTGCTTTACAGTTAAGTTACATTGAACTTTAAATTTCACAGGGTAAGTTTTTACATTTTATATATAGTTTTAGTTATATTATAAACGTAATCACTCAGGCACTTAAATAACTAAAATCCTGTTAATTCTTATTTCTTTTATCTTCGGCATCCTTCTTCTAGGATTAGAATAATTTAGGTTCCTGCATTGAGATAAATAGTTCTGTGAAACAAATCCATAGTGCAAATATTGCTATCTTTCAAACCATTAGAAAGATAATTAGAAACCATTATCTTTCAAACCAACTTCACAATAGCAGAGTCTTATCTTTGTGTTCAGCGGGCTTTCTGAAATAAATGCATTTGTACATTATTGTTGTTTCTCATTTGTTAAGATATGATCACGTTAAACCTCTGGGGTCCTCTGCATCCGGGGGCCCAGTGGGTTCTAGACCACTTTACATTGCTGCACCACCATTCCAAAGATTTAACTCTCCATCAGAGCAAACCCCAACTGTTACCAAAAGTAAAGTACACGAATCTGGAAAACGTGAAAAGAAAACCTTAGTGCTCAGGGACAGAGGTGAGTAAGAGTGGGTCATTTTTTTAATGGAATTTCTTTTTTGTACTGGTTCTTTAAAATGTAAAATCTTTCAGTCAGGTTTTATTCCTGGTTGCATTACAGATATACCCATATAGTTTTGTTGGTAACAATAGAGAAGTTGTTTGTTTTTGGCTTCTGAGTCTTCTTTTAAGTCTAATCTGCAACCCTGGTATGGTATGCAACCCTCTCATCAAAGTACTCATCAAACTTAATCCTGCTTAGCTTTTTGAAGTCAGCCATGGTCATCTATCTGGACTTAACTAGTTCTTCATGTCCTATCTTTTCAGTTGTTTTAAAGCAAATAGACCTATTTTTTCTTAAAAACAACAACCTATTGTACTATGAAAATTAACGAGTTGCATATGATGATTGATAATTTCCTCTGTCATTACCATTATATCCATTCCCCTTATATTTCATTTGCTAATAATGGCATGTATGTTATACAAAGTGCAGTTGTTCAAGCAAGAATAGATACATCCAAAGTATTTGCTTCACCAGACATCTGAAAATATACTTGTATTTTCAATATTTGATCACCATTCTTTGCCAACTCTCTGTAGAACCCGGTCTTTGGACATATATGGCATTTCTCAGCATTCCGTCCATTGGAGGCCTAGTTCATCATATTGGTTAAGAAACCTTTATGTAAGAAAGCTTCATGTCTCATACCATTTATACCTACCTCAATCTTGAGGCGAATATATTTTTTATTATTATTTCTAGCAAATGAAAGGAAGACCTTTTTGGTGTTGGCATCACAGATATAGAATGGCCTTGTCTTAGAACAGGGGTTTCAAACTCAAGGCTCACAGGTCAGATTTGGCCCACTGGGTGCTTAAATCTGGCCCACAAGGCCGTCCTGGAAATATCAAAGGACCAGCCCGCAATGCCTCTGCTGGCCAAAAATGGGCATGCAGGAATCTCACGGGGCCCATTTTTGGCTGTCAGAGTGCTGCAGAAGGCCATGGAGGCAAAAAATGAGGTATGAGGGAGCTTTGCGCGGTATCTGCATGGCCCATTTTTGACCAGCAGAGTGCCACAGAGGCCGAAAACAAAGCACAGGGCGCCGGCAGGCCTCCCCACACCCCACTTTGGCTGGCAGGCTGCTGCAGGAGGTGTCCTGTCTCTCCCCCTGCCCCCCTGCCAGCCCATGGAGAAGAATTACAATGCTGATCCGGCCCTCAAAGAAATCCAGTTTCACACCCCTGTCTTAAGAAGCTTGCCTGGGATCAATTGAATTTTTTTTTAATAAGCTGCTAGGGTTTTATAGATCCTGACTTTTGTTTTTAAATATTTTAAGACTTGCTTTTTGTGGTTTGTATTGCAATCGTTTTTTTAAATTTATGTATAATAGTCAGAGGATTTTATGGGATAAATATAAAGAAAATCATCAGGTCCAATGTTCGCTTACTTGCTAGACTGACCAGGAAATAGATCCTACATTAAACTGTAGTTATAAGGGCAGACCTGATTCATGATGGGTGAAGTCAGAAAGTAACTTTAGCCCCAATTCCCATCCCAGTAGTGATACTGAATTGCATTTCTCAATGTTCTTCTCCCCTGATTGGATAGCTGCTACTTAGGGAGGGAGAATAGTACGTGCTGTGTTTGAAGACTCACGTTGTGGCCAAAATATGCTCAAGCCTCACCTCTGAAGTCCTTGAAACAAGTTCTTTTATGTGAACTCTGGTTGTCATTACTGGTATTTTGTTAATTTGCAATGATTTTCATGTACTGTTGTAAACTAAGAGATTATGTTGTTGCTGCATGGTTTTGTAGACAACTGATAGCCATAACTTTGTGGTTTTATAGTATGTCGCTGAAGATTATTATAATTACTATGCTTTGAAATTGAAAGCAGATTTCCCATGTTTGATGGAAGCGCATCAACTGCTATTAAAACTTAAGCTTAGAAATACTTGCTAATTCCCCTTGCTTTAGAATAGGGATTTCATGAGAATTGTGGCCTGTTTTGAATGCAATCAAATATTTTCTTCTTCTTCTTCTTCTTCCAAGACTTGTGTGGAACCAATGAAGAAAGGACAAGGCCTGGGGCAGTAAGTGACTTGGCATGTTGCAGTATTCCAGCTGACATACCAGAAGCAAAGCCCCATTCGTATTTAGATGCTATCCGCAGCGGGCTTGAAGATGATGCTGAACCTGGGAGCTCATATGCATACGATGAACAGTTATGCCCCTACGCAGCAGCCGGCATGTGCCAGTTTGGGGATCGGTGCCTCTACCTCCATGGGCAAGTGTGTGAAATCTGTGGAATGCAAGTGCTCCATCCCTTTGATCCAGAACAGAGGAAGGCACATGAAAAGGTAAACATGACCAGAAATAAAACTAACTTGGCTCTGTTATTTTCAAATCAAATCATTATTTAACTGACAAAAATAATCAGGCCAACTTAATAATATAGGATGTAAAATATAAAAATGACAAAGATTGAACAATTATATGGGTATGTAAAAATGTGGAACTGGTCCTCATCTGATTTACTAGCTCTTGCTATGCTAGTGGCCAATTCCTGATGGATGTTATGTACTCTTGCACAAAACATGATAAAATGACTTTTTTCGCGGGATGGTTTCTGGCAAAAAAGAAAACATCTGTTCCAGACAGTTCACTTAACGTCCACTGCATTTGCTTAATGGCTGCAGTGATTAAGGACCAATGTGAAAAAAGTCATAAAATCAAGCACAGTCAGGTAATGTCCAGCATGACAAACAACCATAATTCTGGGATCAACTGTGGTCAGAAGTCAAGGACTATATGTAATTAAATTTTTCCAAGTTTTCTGCTTTCCCTTTTTATCAGTTTTTCAATCAACCTATTTCTTTTTGAATTTCTCATTTCAGGCTCTCTGTTAACCAATGTTACATTAAAGATAACACCTACAAATGTTAAAAATTATTCATTCCTGTTCAGCTTATGACTTATTGTGCCAAACTTTGTTAATCTGTTATATTGGTTGCATGTGGAGCTTCCCTATTTACACTGACCTGGTTCATATGTCATGCTGTGATTTGTGGCTTATTATGTAAAAAGATGTGCTCATTTATTTAGCTTGATAATTTATAAAAGGTACAATTTATAAAAGGTACAATTCTGTTATCCCATATTTATCCAGTTCCCTTTAAAATCCAGATTGTCATATGTGCCTGTATCTGTATCATATTTTTTTCTGTCTGACACTTCAAATGCCAGTGTTATTTATAGTAGTGGATTATGTCCCATTTTTCAGTAAGAACTAAGTGACTGGTAGTTTTTAATAAAGTTATTTGGTATTATGTAATCCAATGTTACTAGCAGTGGTTCTTACCAATAAAATTGGGATGCTAAAACTTCAAGCCTTCAGTTGTATGCAGAAGCAGACCTTTCTCAATTGCAGTCCTTCATCTACTTCTTTCAGAGTAAACTTCATTGATTTTAATGCACTTGTGTTTTACTGAAAGCATGCTATTTTCTCAATGTAGAGTAACCACTCCTTTCCTCAGTCTTTGCCTTCTCTTTCCCTGTCTAGATGTGCATGGCTAGCTTTGAACATGACATGGAGAACGCTTTTGCCTTCCAAGCAAGCCAGGACAAGGTGTGCAGTATCTGCATGGAAGTGGTTTATGACAAGCCCTCCGCATCCGAAAGAAGATTTGGCATCCTTTCTAACTGCAATCACACCTACTGCTTATCCTGTATCCGTCAGTGGAGGGGGGTCAAGCAGTTTGAGAATCCCATCATCAAGTAAGTTCCCATAGCCTGCTCTTCCAAAACGTAGTTTGTTACATGTTTCCTTTCAAACTGTTCAGTCTTTGCAGCTTAAATAGATGATAGAGTAGCTGATAGTTGACAAGGGTATTTACCAAGACACATAAGTTGGACAAAATATGACGGTGGTTTTCTCAGTTGCAGATTATCATGATTAATTTCAAACTGGCTTTAGAGTGGGCTTTGGCACTTTGATTTCTGATGGATTATCTTCCTTTGGGCATCAGGTTACAGACTAATGTTTGGTTCTGGCTGATTTCTGCATCATTATTAATGCTATTAAGCACAATATCTTCCTGAATTGACTAGTGTTGTTTGCCATAATTTACTCATTTTTTCAAACAAATTTTAGTTGCGGTACTTATGATGTCCCTCTTAAGTTCTAGTCTGTCTTCATTTTATTTCACTATTTATATGAAACTGATAAGAGTTATCCAGCAGATTTTGAGCTGGACGGCGCTAGTTATTTCTTAAGTTCAACTTCTGCCACAAAGGGGTGAATCTAGAACTTTACAGAAAATGAAGTACGTGCTCTTCAAATGCTTTAAAGCTTACTTTTATTATGCAAAGTTAATCTGCAGGAATGAAAACTTAGACCTGAAAAACACAAATAGGATGGACTTTTCTTAATAAATAGAATGCTTAGGTTTAATAAAATTACTTGGTAGATGTCTTCAAAATTATGATAAATGCAGAGAACCTTTGGAGTTGTGTGGGTCCCCCACCTTCTTCTGTTTTTGAGTTAGATAAAATAGCTTCTTCAACAAGCAATATACCAGCTTTTTTTTTTTGCTACTCAAGGTCCTGTCCAGAATGCCGTGTGATATCCGAGTTTGTCATTCCCAGTGTGTACTGGGTAGAAGATCAGACAAAAAAGAATGAGCTAATTGAAGCATTTAAGCAGGGGGTTGGGTAAGTATACGTACAAGCATTTAAAACCATTTGTAAGATATTTTTGTTCTGTCCTGTGCTGCTTAAAACTGTGGCTGAATACATAGGTAGTAAACAAGGACTTCCTGTAAAGAGGACTAAGAACATTCTGTATGACCATGTATTTTCAACTGAAGCAGAGTTGTGTGTTGCAAAATAGGACCAGCTTCAGTCAATTATTTCAATCAGCGTGTACATCTCTAATCACTGTGTGGGTAATCCTTGCTACATACTCTATTCTTTTCTATGATATCCGCCACCACACCAGAATCTAAAAGAGCAGGGGGTTGTATTTTTGAGGGGTACTTGGTACTTTTGGAGCTTAGTAGTTTTCCTTCAGACATTTCATTACCCAAACTACGTAACATCATCAGTCCTAGTAAGGAGTGTTACTAACCTTCTTACTAATTTATCCTTCATTTTATCAGACTCAAAGTCTCTCTGACACTGTTGAACTAGGACAAGTTCATTTAGTGCATATCTCCAGTATGAAGCTAAAAATTAGCCACATACAAAAAACAAACTTGCAATTTCCATGTTTTACTTTGCAAATCTGCCAGACAGTGGTCCTCAAAAGCATCTCCAAATCTTTGCATGAAATCATTATTTGAGAATGTATGATTGCTCACAATGAGTAGGACTATTCAACTGTCTGACACTTCTTTCAGCAGACCAAGAACAAAGGTGACCTTGTTCTGACCTGTAGAAAATCCTGTTTAGTCAGCCTTCCATGAACAAGTCACATGAGTTTTGAAAGTCAAGGATCTTGAGTTTCTTCAGACTTCTCTGGTAGACATCCAGAAAAAAAATCTTCCTACTAAGATAAGCCTTAACCTTAATGCTGTTCTAGCTGTATCACAATGTTTTATGGGTGTATTATCTATATCTTGCTGCTGTTGAGGCTGTAATAATGCCTCAGCCAGGTGTTTTGCAGAAGCTGGATACCTCAGGGATCTGATACCATATTCTAGACCTGGAAGGTGAGATCCAGTGCCTCTCAGACAGTAGTGAGGCTTACAAGACTGATGTCAACTTTCTGAGGTCAAGAAATAAGCATCAGAGGTTCCAGGAATACTTTTTATTGTTAGAAGGGGAAGTAAGAGAATCTTGAAAGTCTGCCACAGTTCCTCCCTGTCCCATCTTATATCAAATAAATTCAAGGCAGGGATTAGGTCCTTTCTCAGGACTTTCCTTGTCCCTTAATGATTCACTATCCCCTTTTTTCTTTCCTGAACCCAAATCTGTATTCTTTTTTTTTTAAAAAAACCAAATTTTATTGACTTTGCAGAACACACAGACAATCAAGGCATAATAACATAAAAGATCTTTCTGGAAAAACCAGTAGGACATACAAAATATTTCCAAATTGTAATATATATATTTACGTTATCTGCTCAACTTCATATCTTATCCCAATTTCTCCTTTTCATTCTATTATCCAGATTATATTTCTTACTAATTAAATTTTTTTGCCTTTCAAGAAACAATACACAAACATACAAGACATAAAACATAAAAAACATAAAACATCTTTTCTGAAAGCTGCTTGATCCCGGGTTAAAACTCTTCGCACAGACGCAAATTCAAAAATCATATTTACTTTATATATCATTCCATATCTTATTACCATTTTCAATTTTCTATATAGCTTCTTCCCTCTTTTATCTTTCTTAGTTTTATTTTATTTATCTTATCTCAATACAATTCATAATACTTAATTCCATGTCTGTTCTTTTCCAGTTATCCATCCATCTTTTCTCTTTAAATATACTTCTCCTGTACATTGATTGGAGTAACGCCTTTGACTCTTTCCCCTAGCTTAATAATGCTTAATATAACACTTACATTATATTGGGATTCTGATTAGTACATTCTAAAATTACACAATAAATTTTATAAGAAAAACAAGTACACTACAATTACAAAATAAAAGCATATAACCCACCATAGATACCATTAAAAAGCTAATCATATATATTAATACACATTTTACTCTAAATACACATACAAAAACACACTCTTATGTACCTTCCAGAATCCCTTTTTCAATTAAATTTACCCATTGTCTCTAAATAGATTTTGTTTCTTTAAGTCTTGCTTCCCACCATTAAGGCTTCTCATCCCCTCTTTTCTCTCTTGTTTATTTTTCTCCTTGCCTTTTTTACCCCATTGTCTCTCCTCCTCCATTTTCTTCTTCTGCTTACCCCCTTTCTGTTGTTTTCTAACCTTGTATCCACCTTTCATCTCATTTTCCTCTTTTTGGATTGTTTTCTCAAACCTTAAAATCCCCTTTTTCTTTTCCTCTTCCTCCTCCTCCCCAAAGAAAACCCATTGTTCATCCAAGATGGCTTCTTCTTCTTCTTTATTCCAGTCATCTTGCTGCGTAGTCAGTTTTTCATAAGTGCATACCGCCATTTCTAGAAATTGAAAAAGTGTGCCCAAAGTATCTTTTCCATCTTGCTCTTCTTTTTTATATTTTTGATATTGAATTTTTAGTTCATCCAGAAGCAATGCCATCATGAAGAGAAAAACTTCTTCAAAAACAACCACCCAAGTGTTTTTAATCAAGAATAATTCCAAAAAATTCCAAAGTCGCTAAAAGATCCAAATAAACTATTTCTTTTAATACTTTTATTTTCCTTCTTCTATTTCTCTTTCTGGGGTTACTGATTTATCAAAAAGTTCCCATTAAAGTATATCTTTCTTTAAAGTTCTAGGCAGTCTCCTCCTTTTTCAAGCTCTGCTCCAAAGAAATTTTTTTCCTCTCCCCCCACTTACAACAGCAATTTCCCTTTAAACGCTCAGAAATCTATACCTCAAATACGGGTTTTCCAATTTCTGAAGTTGTTAAATCCAAAGTCCAAAAATCCTTTATCTCATAACTTTCAAGTTGAATTACCTTCGGTGCCCAAATATATTTTCCAAGTCTCCGTCTGCTATTTCTATGGGGTGGGAGAGTGAATAAAAAAAAGTTTTCCCATGACAGCTTTCTCCGCCGCTTTTCTCTTCTTAGGGATACAATGTATCTTTCAGGCAATTCAAACAATTCCGTTCCAGGGTTTTAAAGCTTGTTATTTTCCCGGCTCAGCCAACACTTTCACTTCTGATTCTTCTTTCTCCTTCTTCCTCCAGCACAATCTTTTCCAGCTGCCAGCTTCTTTGTGGCGGCCATTGCTGACCGCCACTCCACCGCCTTGAGAAAAGGAGGTTAAGCTGGGTGAGGAGGGGGTCTGCGACACCCCCTAACCCCTTCCCAGATCCTCCCTATCTTCGGCTGCCTCTACAGGGCAGCCTTATCCTCCAGACCCATCAGGATCGGAGGCACCAAGACGGCTAGCGCAACAGGGATCGCGCACTGTCACGAATCCCTGCCGCCGCCGAAGCCTGGCAAACCGGAAGCCCAAATCTGTATTCTTTTGCATATATGAAAGACTGTGTTTTCAAATCATATTCTTTTGCTAGAACATCTTTCATTGATTTATTGAAGTTTTCAAATATATTCTGCAAGTAGCAAATTCAGAATGAAAAATGTGAATAGGTTTAAGAAACATATGGTATTTTGTTCAGTTTTTTTTATTGTAGGTCAAGGCAATTATAAGTCGAGGTATGAAAATTTTTTAACAAACTGGTTTTATTTGAAAAAACAGTGATCAGCATACACCATATAGTACTAATATAGTACTCCAGAAGTTATGAATGCTCAAACACGGGAAACTTTTAAGAAGAGAATGGACAACCATTTGTCTGAAATGGTGTAGGATTTCCTGCCTGAGGAGCGGTTGGACTAGAAGACTTCCAAAGTCCCTTCCAACTCTGTCATTCTATTCTATTGTTAAATGTACATTATGTTTAACAAAATGACGCATCTGTAGTTCTATGACCTTCACTGCTAGTCTCTAAAAAGTTTCGTGCGTGACTCTAAAAAAGCTGAACTTTCATTGTTTACATTATGTTGCTTTCTATTTATGGAACATTTTGCTTATCAGTGACATCAGGAGCTGTGCTCTTAATAAATGTAGAGCTGAAATCTGCAGCTGTTGATCAGAACACACATATTAGATTTATATTACATAATTTATATTCTGGTCTGTGTTTGAAGTCTATAATATATACATTTCCATAGAAATTAAAACTGATTGTTAGATAGTTTACCCATGATGGTCTCCAGATAACCTGTGGAATAAATTCCTAAGTGCACCAAGATAAAAAGAAACCCTGTGAGTTTATATTTTGCAAAGATGTAACTGGAAAATATTCAGTGGTTTGGTTAAAAGTCTACCCTAAGTGGGAATATAATTTCTTTCACTTCTGCTATTTTCTTTGCCAAATGATAAGTTTAACGTGTTTGACTTTGACTTACTTGTTAGATCTCCCATGTTACATATAATTTATTCTGTTAAAGGTCAATCATTAGTTCTGTGTTGGAAAGTGAATCTTTAGCATCAGATTAATTAGAAGTACAGTTAAAAATTTTCATGTGCTATAAATAGCAATAGCACTTTGACTTATATACCGCTTCACAGTGCTTTTTACAACCCTCTCTAAGCGGTTTACAGAATCAGCATTTTGCCCCCAACAATCTGGATTCTCATTTTATTGACTTCAGAAGGATGGAAGGCTGAGTCAACCTTCAGCCTGGTGAGATTTCAACTGCCAAATTGCAGGCAGCCAGCAGAAGTAGTCTACAGAACTGCACTCTAACTACTGAGCCACTATGGCTCTTTGAGAAATATTTGAGAATGAAATACCAGATGACTGGTCCTTATCTTCAAAAATGGGGGAAGAGAAAAATCAGGCAGGCAGGCATTTATACTTGGGAAGATTCTGGAGTAGATAATCTGTGGTGATGGTGGGTGGTGTGTGTATGTGTAACTCAGTATTGACTCCTACAAAGGCATCGGCAAGGGCCATGAAGTTTTCTTGGCAGCATTTTCAGAAGTGGTTTGCCATTATCACTTCCTAGAACTGAGAGAACCCAAGGCCACCCAGTTGTCTTAATGCCTAAGACAGGATTAGAACTCACACTCTCCTGTGAGTTTCTAGCCTGATGTCTTAATTTCCACACTAGACTATCTCTTAATATGCCCAAAAATGAGGCATGAGGATTAGTGGTTAATATGGATTTGTTAATAACTTATCTTACCAATCTATTCTCATTATTTTTGGTGTGCTTCCTTAGCAGAACATAGGAATGCTCTAGAATTAATATACCTTAATTTCAGCAAAGAGTTTAACAAAGTAACCCATTACATTTTGACTAGGAATGTAATCATACAGGGTGTGAGTAGCAATGACAGTAAATGCTGGCTTGGAAATCATATTCAAGAAGTGCCTGGTGTGAGGAATCAAGGAAAGTGCCACAAATAGGCCTAGTGACTTTTCCACATCTTTATTAACTCTGTGGTTAACTAAGTGGAGAGAATGTTTGTCATACTTAAAATAACATTAATTACATAATGGGTAATTAATATTACTCAATAAATAACATTCAAAATTATGTTTATAAATTGGAGAAACTGGCTGAAAATAATAGAATAAAATGACTAGAGTAGTGAAAGAACAATACCTGAGTATGTTTCATTTTGTTAGTGGCAGTCAGAGAAGTGGTTTTATAATATTGTACATTTACAGATTGTTCAACATGGGTTATCGTCAATATTATTTGAGAGAGAAGAGAAAAGGAAAGGCATCGGTGTTTATTCCAGCATATAAATACAGCCAAAGAATTTAAATGCTGAGTTGCTTTCCTTTATACTTTTGTCATCACAATTCACATTTCAAAATTGTCCCAAAATATGCATTGGGCTTGCTTTTAGGACTAATCTTTTCTCTGTAAATTGGCTTTATTTTTCTTTTTAGAGCCACTAAACTCCTTGAGTTTTTAAAAATAGATTGAGCCATCAATCTCCACATGAGTAACCCTGACACGCATTCTTCACCCTCTTATTCTAGGAGAAAAGCCTGCAAGTATTTTGAACAAGGAAAGGGGACTTGCCCATTTGGGGGGAAATGTTTGTATCTCCATGCTTACCCAGATGGAAGACGAGCTGAGCCAGAGAAACCACGAAAGCAGCTCAGCTCTGAGGGGACAGTCCGGGTAAGAAGAGACATAACTTACTCTCTATCCTGTCTCTGCTGGGCTCACTAGTCATCTCCTTTCATTTGAGACAGCACATGCTATTTTGAAAACACCTGAATACTTGGGATAGGAGGGACACTTCATCTGTGTTAAATAATAAATAAACACAGATATAATAAACCTAGTTCCTACTTTGACATTCCACTTGTTTGTTTCCATTTTAGAACCCAATTAACCTCAGTAATTTTAAAACGTGCATTTAAGAATAACATGGAGCTGTTCGTCTATATCAATTGTAGTTCCAACAGCTTTGAAAATTACATACAGTAGTCCTCACTCACCACTTGTTCAGTGACCATTCAAAGTTGTGACCATGCTAAAGTGAATAGTACTTAACTACCAGTCTTTAAAGTTCCAGTTGTCACATCAGTTTCCAATCATAAGATTGCAATTTGGATGTTTGGCAACCAGCTTGCACTTAACAATTGTGACAGTTGTGTCATCACTCTTGACAGGCTACCCTGCTGGTTTCTCACAAGCAAAGTCAGTGGGGAAACTGGCAGGGAAGGTTGCAAGTCACTCTGGTGCCAGCCCTCTCCATTCTTTCGGCACACTTCCCTGCATCCTCATTCCTCAGCCTCCCTATGCTTTTACCAGTCCACAATGAGATGTTGGGATGCTGCCCTGGGTGTAAAAAAAAAAAGCTGTAGTTTTAGTCCCAAAAGTGCTTTAAATATATTAGTAAGAGATATGTGTGAGTAACTCATATGCCTTCTGTTTTAGTTCCTCAACTCTGTTCGTCTGTGGGATTTTATTGAAGACCGAGAAAACAGGATGCTGCCAGTTGCCAATGATGATGTATCTGAGATTGGAGAGCTTTTTATGCATCTTTCGGGCACAGATGCTGAATCTGCTGCTGCTCCCTAGAATACCACAAGATCTCTCCCGTGTCCATATTCCATATTGATCCTTCTGTTTCTTCAGTAACTTTGTACCACAATGTTAGAATTATTGTGCCATGGAGACTGAGGTCCTGGTGAAATTCTAGTATGAGCGTCACTGTAGAGCAAAAGTGTTGAAACATCATAAAATAAGTGGTTGGAATAAAAGTGATAGATGTAATCATGAAGAGAAGAACTTTTCTATTAGAAGGAAGCAGCAATGTTTTTTTTAGTTTAAACGAATATTTACTCCCATTTTATTGAAAAAACTTGCTATTAAGATTTGAGGTAGATCCAAGTAATTGGAGGTTGTCTTTTAATATTATAATATCTTAATAAAAGAACGGAAAAATACATCTAATTATCCATGTCAAATATATCAGTGTGGTTTAAAATTATCAGACTCTTTTCAGGGTTGTTAGCAAAAAAAAAAAAAAACAAGCTATCTTCCAAGGGTTTATAACACTGTACATGGCCTTTTTTTTTAATATAAGTGATCTTTTTTAAAAAAAATTGGGCATGAGCATTGTTAATGTATTTTATAAGCAGCATGGTTATTTAAACATTTGCCGCACTATGTTACAGTTCTCCTAGCTTAAGTTGTACCCATTTTTCCTTTTTAATGCAACTTAAGTAGCCACATTTAAGATTATTTGTAGGAATGAGATATCTAAGAATGAAAGTACAGTCAAAATAATCCATGTTAGTTGTATGATTTTATTGGAAGCAATAACCAAGATTCTACTTATACATATAAGTAGAGAATTCCTTTGTTAGTTAGCTCCAAGTAGGAGTGGGATGGACTTTCATAAATTATTGTTTTAGTTCCAATATGTTCCAATATTGAACTAAAATCTGTTAAATCCATATATGGGTATTGTTATTTTTTCCTCCCATTTAATTGTGTCTGATTCTTGGAGATTGAACAAGGTCCTGCAAGTTACTTGGTAAAGGTTTTCAGAAGGGGCTGAGAGAAAGTGACTAACTGGCTCAAGGTCACTCCGCTGGTTTTATACCTAAGGCAGAACAGACAAGTTCCTGCTTTCTAGCCTGATGCTTTAACCACTACACCAAACCGGCTCTCATGGGCATAATAGGCATTGCTACAAACTATCTCTGTGACATGATATAGTTTAACTTTTTAAAAAGTAGCACCACTATCTGAACATTGCCTGAAAAGTAGGACCAAGCTGTATTTCAAATTTGGAGGCGAAAAGATGCTTCAGAGCAGCATGTTTGCTCATGGAGCCCCTTTCTACAGCTCTTTAAAGCAGCTGTGTCTTTTTCTGGATGCTGTGCATATATGCCTTGACGTTCAAAGTATTGCAAAACTTTCCAGTTTTTAAGATTTTTTTTTTATCCCAGCCCCATTAGTGGAAGCAATTAATAGCAGTGTTCAACTTTCAAAAACAGCCCTCAATGATACCATACTATATAGCAGGATGGCAGGTAACAGAAAATCATGACTTGGGTCAGTCCAACTAGTGGGTGAGAGTGGTGGAAGTTCAATGGAATAGAGACTATTTGATCTGCATATACTAATTTGCACACAAACAATTTTCTGGGTTTTGAATCTGCTCTTTGAACGGAAATTGCAGTCCCTGTCAGAATGAATCACTTGGTAACTGTCCCATCCTCTTGATGTTAACTGAATGTTAATATATCTTTAAAAATAATGCCCATATTCCTGGTAACTGCAGGAAATTTGTACTTTACTTGGCAGGCATTATAAGAATCTATTTGCTGTTGTTTGGGGGGTGGGGTGGGGGTAGGGAATCCCTCATTAACAGCCCTAGAATTCCCAGGTAGTTTCCTATCAAAGTATTCATCATGGTTAACTCTACTTAAATTCTGAGATTATCTAAAGTTGCCGAGACAATTATTAACCTTTTAGGCCATTCCTGTCTATTACTGGTACCTTAATACCTTACAGTGTTATAAAGTACAGTCACAAGTGCTGCTGAAGTCACATACTAAATCCTCACAAATGGGATTGTGTAGATAGTGGGAAAGTATGTAGGGAAATAATCATATAGGCCCTCTTTGTGGTGTAAGTACTATAAAGAAGCAGAGTATCCTGTCTGGCTTGTCTAACATAGGAGCAGGTAGTGTATACTATCAGGAGTATGTTTGGAGTTTTGACAGTATATTATGAGTTCATTCTTGCAATCAATGGCTGTGTGTTTATATTTACAAGAATTTATAAATGCCCAAAGATGTGAATGTACACCATGTGGTCAGCACCTGCTCTAGTAGATCTTTTAAAAATGCATTTAATTCAATCAGCTGGTTTGACACTTATGTATCAGGTGAAAATAATATAGTCATAGTCTATTCTCCAACAGCATAGTTCCAAAATAGCATCATTTTCTGTATCTAAACCAGATATTCAGTCTCATATAAAAGTCCTTGGTGGCATCTTTGATAATTAGTCACCTGTTAAAAATTGGCTACTCATAGGGATCTAGAGGTTGTAGACAAATATTCAAGCAGACTGATTAATTTGCTTCTTTGTCAATGGTTAGTAATGTCACTTTCTGACCCATCCTAAGCTTGACACTTATTTTGAAGACTGTATCTGTTATTGCTGTAAATTTATTATTAGATAATTTATTAAATCTTGTTCCAGGTTTGTGGTCCTTTAAATGCTACTGAACATGTGCAGCTTTCTTACTACAGATTTAGGATTTGAAATATTATTGAAGAATTGCAAAAAGAATGCAAAAAAATACAGCCCAGGGATGACATGTGATTTGCCAGCATACCTTTTGCAGAGTAAGAACCAATATCTTCAGCCTCATCTTTGGGCAAGATTTGTAAAAAAAAAAAAAAGCACACTTTAAACCTCATGAGGACTTAAGGCATCTGTTTAAAATCACTCAAATCTAAAAAACAAGTGGTTCCTGGTCATACCTATGTGCCATCTAAAACCTGAGCCAAAGGTGGTTATTTATGCCTATATAAATAAATAGTGTAGTATTCTTCGAAAGATAGAGAAACTTCATTACATTCCTTTTCAAGAACTCCCAGCATCTACAGTTGATCAAAAGGAATACTCTAAGCTGCTTGTACATATGAAAAACGACATTGTCCTATGGTATACATTGACTGATAATCATTCCAATTATTTTACTTTATTGACAAATTAGGCAAAATGGAAGCCATGTATCAAATTTAATTCATTTGAAAAGAAATTAATTTTTCCACTTACCGTGTATTTAAATAGCCAGGTTAGTAGTAAATAGTTTTATTTAAATAGAATATAAGTTTGAGTTCAGGTTACTTTCCTAACAGTGGAAAATAGTGTTCTTTTGATCAATGATGTGTGTTTGACTTATTGAGCTTCAGAGGACAATAAATTTAATTTTGAGTCTGTCATTCAAATGATTACAGCAGTACAGCATGCTAGTTGGGGAATTTGGGGCCTTGAAATTGCCAGTTAAGAAATACTGGGTTAAAGGATACAAAATGCACGTATCTTTTCAATATTTCTTTCAAACAGCAATTTCCCCATGAAATCTTAATGTTTTGAAGTTGCATTTTTTAAATAGTGTCAGCCAATTTTTATGTAAATATTGATATGTCTCTAGGCATAAATCTAACAAAAGCAACCAAACTCTTCTTTGCTAATGTTTTACTTGCATAGAAGTGTGCCACTGGTCACACTTCTGGCTGGTGCTTGTGAACTGAATTAAAATAACGTGGTAACATGACAAAAACAATATGCAGGGAATGCCCGCGTAATTGGAAGCCTGGCAAACCAGCTCAATTTAACAGATTTCTGCACTTTTAAATGTACACTGAAGCTCAATATTAATATGAAAACATTCACAGAATGTAAAGTGGACATCAGAGTTCAGCTAACCATCACAGGCTAACATAATAATCCTCATATTTGCACAACTGCAGCAACATGACTTGCAGGCACAATAGTGCAATACAAGCACTTATGCAAACAAAATATCACATCCAACTCCCTAGTCCAGGGCTGTCGAACTCCCAGCACACAGGCCAGATCTGTCACATGCTGGCCACGCCCTTGCCTGGTTTAGGAAAGGGGGGGGGAAAGTTCTGATACACGTTACCATGACGACGTGAGTTTGACACCCCTTGCCCTAGTCTGCCAACTTTAATTCTAATTTCTTTGCAGCAATTAAAAAACAATCACCAACAATTACATACCAGGCTTCTTTTGGGCCATTGTTAAATGATATGCAGAAGGTGCAGTGGTTAGAATGCATTATTGCAGGCTAATTCTGCTGACTGCCAACTGCCAGCAGTTGGGCAGTTCGATTTTGATCGGCTCAAGGCAGTGGTGGGATTCAAATTTTTTTACTACCTGTTCTGTGGGTGTGACTTGGTGGGCTTGGCAGGGGAAGGATACTGTAAAATCTCCAGTCAGAGGTGGTATTTGCCAGTTCTCTGAACTTCTCAAAATTTTCACTACCGGTTCTCCAGAACTGTCAGAACCTGCTGAATGCCACCTTTGTTTCAAGGCTTCCATCCTTCTGAAGTAGGTAAAATGAGGACCCAGATTGTTGGGGGTAATATGCTGACTTTGTTAAACTGCCTAGAAAGGGCTGTAACGCACTGTAACGTGGTAAATAAGTCTAAATGCTTTCGTTATAACTTTTCTCATTACTCAATAGCTTGTACGCATCAGTCTCTTTCATTTAAACAGTAGCAGCAAAGATTGAATAATCCTTACTACTAATCTGGTCAGGCCATCATATGGAAACATATATATCCCTATAAAGACTTATATTGATATGTTGAATGTAAGAGAAAATAAAGTATCATTGAAACATGTTTCAATATCCTTTCTTTTCAACAAATAATAGGTATTCAGAGAGACTGATAAATATTCTGTGTCCTTGAAAAATGTAAGAAGCACTAAGATAAAGAACAAAAAGTTCATAGAAGATCTTAATTACAGTAACAGTGCTTTTAAACCATAATCAAGAGATGTGTGACTTGCCAGACATAAAAAACCCCACAATATAAATCTGAACTTAAATACTTTAACAGGAATTTAACAATTTCTACAATAATTTACTACAAAGTTAGCAGATTTGAAATAAAGAGAAATTAAATGGAAATACTTCTGTAAGATATCCTAAATAGTTTAGCACTGTTATCTGTCAAGAAAGAACAAATGTGAAATGCAATTACAGCTGATCAGTAACTATACAATGCTGTTCAAAGGGAATTAATATAAAATACATATAGTATTAACATATATATTGGATGACAACCTTCTGCTTCGGTAATCTAACAATTTAATGAGAGAGGAAGGAGGGAGAGGAGAGAGAGAGAGAGAGAGAGAGATGGAGAGAGAATAAGAATGGGTCAACCCAGT